GCCGGGCTCGGCTCCCGAGCGCGGCCCGGAGGCGCAGAGCCCAGGGGCCCGGACTTGGTCTGCCCCTTGTCAAGTTGGAGGCTCCAGCCCCTGTCGCCTGCGTGCCCTGTGCTGTCTGTCGGCCTGACGCGCGCACACCTGTGTGTGTATGGGGCGCCCAGGCTGCTTGGGGGGGCGGAGGGCGGGGGGCGTGCAGCCGGCCGCTGTGCTCTAAGGCGCTGGCTGTCCACCGGTGAGGGCCAGGGCAGCCTCTGGCCGCAGCCCTCTGGGCCTCACGAGTGTCCCACAGTCACCTTCCCTCAGCCTCCTGCCCCTGCGGCTGCCCTGTTTCCTGCACCCCAACGGTGACTTACCTAGTTTGGGGCGGGTGGATCGCTCCCCAAACCCTATTCCCTGCACCCCAGCCCCTGCTGAGTCCAGGAAGGGTGTAGCTTTGCCTCCAGCATTTGACCCTCCCCCAGCAAATTGCCCTCAGCAGGTCCAGCGGGCAGGCGCTGCCCTCCTGAAGCCGGCAAGTGGGCGCAGACCCTCCCCGCCTGGCCGTGACCTTGAGGGCTGGGCTGTGGCCAGGAGTGCCCACAAACGTGGCTTCCATTGGAGGGCTGCGGCTGGACTTGCTGCCCAACTCTGCCCTTGGCGGGCTGGGCGCTCTGTGCCCGGCAGGGTGGCAGGCCGGGCCAGGGCGGTGGCACACCCTTCCGCTCACCACTGCCTCTGCGCTCCCCTCTCCCCTCCCCTCAGATAAACTCCCGGGTGGACAGATATGCTTTAATTTCCTTTGCCCCCTGAAGGGGACTGGAACATCTGGCGGAGACTGATGAGGGAGGCGGCGCCCTCCCGCCTGCTGAGGGTGGGGGAGCCAGCGGCCTGGGGCTGGGGCGGGCGCCTCTGCTGTGTGGCCCAGCCTGGGGCTCTCTGCTGGCCGCCCGCGTGGACGTGGACGGACTGGTGCTGATGTGCCTGTGTCTGAGCGCCTGTGTGAGCTCTGTGCAGGCGTCTGGGCTGGCACACGTGTGCACCCCGGGGCACCCTGCAGCTGTGTGCTTGCCGGAGAGGCCCAGCTGAGTGTGTCTGGTTGAAGGCACCGAGTGGAGGTGCGGCCGGCCGCTGTGCCCTGTGGCTGAGGCTTGTGCCTGCGCCCAGGGCTGTCCGGACCAGGGCTGCCTGCCCGTGGGCTGACATGGGCAAGAGGCTGGGGGCCCGCTCACCGGGCAGCTCTGTTGTGGAAGCCCCCCTCAGGGCTCCTCGCCCCTTGCTCCCTCGGCTGGCGCTGGCCTCTCCACCTGGCCCTCAGGGACCCCCCAGTGGGGACTGGCCTCCTCTCCTGTCCTCGCTGTCCCCCCACACCTGGCAGAGCTGTGGCCTACTGGGAGAAACAGCAGGCAATCAATAGTCACTAATCACTAATCACTAATTAGCTGGGGGCCCTGTGGGAT